GCACGTGCGCGCGCGCAGGAAGCTGCTGGAGATCGAGAGCCTGCTGGACGCCGTCACGAGCGAGGTGGAGGCCTCGGAGGAGCGCGCCCTGGAGCCCGGCCGGAGCCCGGGCGCCGAGGCGGAGCAGAGGGTGAGGAAGCTGTGCGAGAAGGTGGAGAAGAAGGCCGCGGAGGCCGCGCTGATGGGGCAGCGGATCGTGGAGCTCCACCGGCAGATCGACGGCTGCGAGTGCCGCTGAGGCCGCGCTAAGATTTTCGCCTAATTAGACACAGTTTCACTCTTTTTACGTTGGTAATTAGAGAAAAGTAATTTGTTTTTTAAAAAAATGAAATGTAGAAGTTATTAGTAGTAGAACAATAAGGGGTGTACACCTGTCAAGTGGCTAAGGGGATTAAACCAAAGAAAACGCCAGGCCATAAAGCAGAATATGGGGAGAGCTGAGCAAAATTTAAGTGTGAAACAGAAGACCATTATTGAGTATTTCTAAATTTTGCTAGGAGTTTGGAGGGTTTCACTTGACCCTTTCTGCAGGAGGTGGCAGTCTGTGTAGTTTTTATCCCAGGAGGATGGATTCTCCCTTAGAGGTGTCAGAGATAAACAAAGCTGGACAGGAGTTCAAATAGAAAGGATGGATTTAGGGCCGGCCCCGTGGCTTAGCGGTTGGGTGCGCGCGCTCCGCTGCTGGCGGCCCGGGTTCGGATCCCGGGCGCGCACCGACGCACCGCTTCTCTGGCCATGCTGAGGCTGCATCCCACATACAGCAACTAGAAGGACATGCAGCTATGACATACAACTATCTACTGGGGCTTTGGGGGGAAAATAAATAAATAAAATCTTTTAAAAAAAAGAAAGGATGGATTTTACTGAGTAATACCTGTTGCAATAGGGAAGAGAATCCAGCGTGAACTGAACTGAACTCAACTTCCCCCGGAAGAAAAGGCGCCAGGCTTTTTAAAGGCTTCGGTGCTAGGGGAGGGCACTGAAGGGCAAAAGGGGCTCTGAGCCTGTGCCGTCTGGGTTTGCTGATTGGAGCATATGCAGAGGAGAAACAAGCTTCTGTCTTTATGACGGGAGCAATGATACAAATTGGTCCAAGGCGCCCACCTGGGTGAGGCCCTTATCCTCCCCCAGAGACTGGGAAGTGAGAGGCCAAAGAGATGGTTTCAGGTCCTTGAGGAGACAGTGTGGGGCAGCAGAAGATTTGCATTTCAGGGGGCAGAGAGAGGGTTTATAATTGCAAGCTTTCTAAAGTAACGGCTCCGGCTGGCTCTGTGGCTTAGCGGTTAAGTGCACGCGCTCCAGTGCTGGCAGCCCGGGTTCAGATCCCAGGCGCGCACTGACGCACCACTTCTCCGGCCATGCTGAGGGGGCGTCCCACATACAGCAACTAGAAGGATGTGCAACTATGACATACAACTATCTACTGGGGTTTTGGGGAGAAAAAGGAGGAGGATTGGGAATAGATGTTAGCTCAGAGCTGGTCTTCCTCAGCAAAAAGAGGAGGATTAGCATGGATGTTAGCTCAGGGCTGATCTTCCTCACAAAGATAAATAAATAAATAAAACTGTTTAAAGTAACTGCTCTGTGAGGGGGGTTCAGGGGCCTGTCTGCCTATCATCAGGTTTTGGCTGAAACAATAAGTTTTCTGGCAACCTGGAGCTTTCCCAGGCAGCCACTTTAGAAGGGGACACTAGAAGCCAAGCTAGAGTTTGGTCAAGTCTCTTAGTACCAGGGTTTGGACGGAGTGGTCCTGTACTCAGGGCTTTTTTGCAGTTCCCACAGGAAACCTTTTGATAGTAAATTCTCCCACTTGTCCAATAGGTCCACCATCAGGCTCTGGTTGACTGGTCGGCTGACACCCTGGAAAAGCTGAAACCTGAGAGCCTTTCGTTTTTGCTTTTCTGTTTTCTGTAAATGTCCTTTCTACATATAACACTAAGTCCTCATATGGTCTATGTAGTGACCATTGTATGCATATAGATTGCCAAATGTATTCAGTTCTGGAAAGAACTTTTACTTGGGAAAGGCTCTCAAGGGAATTTAAATCTAGATTGTAAATTAATGAGTTGGTCATGTTTCTTATTCTTGGGATTTCTCAATATCTTTAAGTTTTGCTGCTTCTTTGCATTTTACTAACTTGTATGTGACCTAATCACTGTGGGAAACCTTGGGACAAGCAAGACACGAGTCATTTGTCAAACAGTGGAGTTGTTGAAGAAGTTCTACCTGCTTCATTGGAAGATGCCACTGCAAAAGAGTTGGAAGATGGTTTTGTGCACGGTTTGGAACTCTTTGTTTCTCAAAACAAATGAGATTTTCCTCAAATTAAATCGTGTTATTTGGTTACATAACATCTTGGGAGAGTTGTTTGGACAGCCTAATGAAGTCTAATTTGACTTGAAACCTAGAACATGGTTGAGTTCTTATTTTGTTTGTGGTTTGATTTAAGGGTCAGCTGCATTGACAGCTCTGCCTAGTGCATTTCAGGCCTTTTGAGTCATAGAAGGAGAGATATCTGCCTCGAAGATCTGGAGAAACAAATCATTGGACCTAAGCTGAGCAGAAACAACACTTACTCACAGGGTCAGAAGTTGTCTGGTCAAGCTCGTTAGAATAGCAGACTCAACAGGGATTTGAGGTTAAAACACTATATGTAATAAGTGTCTGCGTAAGACCTAAAACCCATGTATTATATATCTTTACCCAAATAAACCAAAGCCCTTCAACTTTGCTAGGAAAAGACAATAAAAAATGTTTCTCAGGATTATGGTTTTTCCTTCATTGTGCTGCCTGTTGAGGGCTTTTATCCTTGCCTGAGTGCTCCACTGCAGCTCAGAGGTGCAGCAGATTCCAGCCGGAAGGGGGTGAAGAAGTGGAAACACTGCATACATGTGACTCCTGAAAAATGGCGGTAGGTAGGTATGGGTTCAAGGGAGGGTCTTCTTTGTTTAAGTGTGTGATGTGAGGCATGTTCTGAGTGCTGGTGGGACTGGGTAGAGGGAGAGATCACTATCTCGGGATGCCCAAAGCCCAGCCAGCACTGAGTCACTCTTCCTGCTCACTGTGCTCCAACACCTCCCTCTCCATCCTTCGCAGAACTGAAGGTCTTTTCTGCCTCTCTCTGGTAACCTGATCATGCAGCTCGTGGCTCCCCACGAATTCTTACCTCCTGAGCTTTCTCTCTGTGCAGCAAGCAGGAAGTGCAGCACTGCCGTTTCACTGTTCTGTCATTTGCTTACAAGCACATGTCATCCCCAGGCCAAAGCCCCCTCACCTCCCTTCTGCACCTCCCCTCCCCAACAAGAGTCCTGGACTTGTGCCAGTCAACCTCTAGACCAGCTGAGGGGCTCCTGCTGTGGCTTATCTTAGGATGCAGTGCCCCCCACAGTTGGCCCTGCCACCTTCTAGGCTACCTCTGTCTTCTCACCAATGCTTCGTGGGTGCCCACCTCTTCTGGATCAACCCAGCTTTTCTTTAAAATTCTTTATGAAATGATGTGGGCTTATGCACCACTGTTCATACCAACATCTTCCCCAGTCCTTCCTGGGATGATAACCTGAAATACTCATAGATGAGAACAGAGCCCCCCAGCTTTCTGGTTGCATTAGCCATTTTCTGTTTTCCTGTTTTCTGCTCCACCAGCAGCTTTGGTGAGCCTCGTTCTGAGCCTGTTTGCCCCCATCTGCAGTGCTTTGCTCATAGTTCAGAAGCCCTAGTCTACTTGATTGAGCTCCAGGTGGACGTTGCACCACAATTCAACAATCCCAGGCAGATCCTGCCCCCTGACCCCAAGAGTAACTGCTCGGTTACTCCTGTGGGTGAACCAGTGGGTGGGTAAGTGCAGCCCATCAGCAGAGTGACAGCCCGGTGTCTGTGGACCATTCAGAGGCCCGAGGTTGCTGCAAATCTGTCTTCACTGAGTCTATTCCAGATGAGCGTATGGATTCCTTCCTCTGCTGATCGCCCCTGCTTGTTGTCCCTTTGGTTCCTTGCCCCTTGCCTCAGTTCTTCCTTCAGTGCCGACCCACTCACCTCAGGGCTTAAACCCTAGGAAACTTTAGCTCCTTCACAATGTCTTAACAAAGTCACCCTCCTCCACCAGGGGTGAGGGACAACAGAAAAATGAGGGTATCTCAGGGGGTAAGAAAATCCCGTCCTGTAACAAAACTTTTAATACAGTGAATGAACATGAAGAGGAAGAAGGGAGCCTCAGTAAGACCTGGGGGATGAAGGTGCTGTCACCACATATTTCCTTTAAAAGAAGTCAGGAGTGTTTGAAGGACACCCTCTGAGAGGGGAGGTAGTGCACACAGGAGGGCTTCTGTCCCAAAGGTATGGAAAGAACCGGCTTCTCCGTTTATACTGCATCTCATACCTGCGTTGCTCCTTCTTCTGTTCTAGGTTGCACATCAGGATGAATAAGTGGAAGGTCACCAGCAAGTTAGGCAGAAAGAAACCAAGGCATATTTTCCCAGGGTTCTTCAGGCTCAGCTTTTCTCATTAGAAATTTTGTCAGAATTTTGCCTCCCCTGATCTCTGCCCCGGTGTTACTTCCATAAGTATGTTATATTACAAGGTAGTAGGGACTTTGCAGATATAATGAAGTTTACTAATCCATTCACCTTATAATAGGGAGATTATCCTGGATTTTCGAGGTGGGCCCAGGATAATCACATGGACCCTTAAACGCAGAGAGCTGGAGAATAAGAGGAGGTCAGAGAGATTCAAGGCACAGGAAGAATTTGGTGCACTGTTGCTGGCTTAACAATGGAGGCAGCCATGTGTCAAGAAAACAAGGACATCAGTCCCACAACCCCCAGGAACTGGATTCTGCCAACAACCTGAATGAGCTTAGAAGAGGTTTCTGGGGCCGGCCCCGTGGCATAGCACTTAATTGTGCACGCTCTGCTGCTGGTGGCCGGAGTTCGAATCCCAGGCGCGCACTGATGCACTGCTTGTCAGGCCATGCTGTGGTGGCGTCCCATATAAAGTAGAGGAAGATGGGCACAGATGTTAGCCCAGGGCCAGTCTTCCTCAGCAAAAAGAGGAGGATTGACATGGATGTTAGCTCAGGGCTGATCTTCCTCACACACACAAAAAAAGAGGTTTCTACCAGAGTCTCTAGAAAGGAATGCAGCCCTGTCGACACCCTGAACAGAGAATCCAGCCATGTGCTGGACTTCTGACTTTAAAAGTGTGAGATTACAGCATTATTCACATAGCCAAGACATGGAAGCA